GCCCAAAGTAGTACCTGTACCTTTTCAGGCGTGGGCCGTTTTGTAGCGCGTTAGGGACGGGCGGAAATACGCCAAGGTGGGAACGAGACCATTGAATACAATGGGATTTATATTTTTGAGCGTTTTGTAGAGCGTTCGTAGAGCGTAGAACGCGCTACAAAACGTTCAGGTGTGAACGAGGGCTAAGGTGCACACGAAATGGGCTTTGAACAGTAAAACAGTAGAAAGGCATCATGGCACACTCACAAACCAGTTTTGCCCCTGCATAGGAGCCACCCTAAAACAGGATATCAGGACCAGTGCTCAGGGGATCAGCTGATTCTGCAGGAAACTAAAACTTTTAAATATCAAGAGTCCATTGTGAGTGAATTCATCAGCATTTAAATTAGCTCAAAAACCTTTAAAGGAATTTTGGACCAAACCTGAGCTCCTCCGAAAATCAGTAGGGACCTGGGGCCACTCTCCCACCCCTCCCCTCCCCACTCAGCTGTGGGCAAGGGCATTGCTGGTCCCGCAACTCCACATAAACAAAGGGGAGGGATGCGTGTGCTGACATCATTGACCTTATATGGCCACATGGCCATATTAGATCAATATCACTGACCAAAAATAGCCACATAAGGTCAATGATGTTACAGCATCCCGCCCCTTTGCTTTGATGCAGCTGCAAGAGGGGAATTCCCCAGCCACAGACCACCAATGTATGGAGCATTCTTCCCACTGACCACCAACCTAAGGATTATTCTTGCCACTGACCACCAACCTAAGGAGTATTCTTCCCACTGACCACCAACATAAGGAGCATTCTGTCCACTGACCACCAATCTAAGGAGTATTCTGACCACCAATCTAAGGAGTATTCTTCCCACTGACCACCAACGTAATGAGTATTCTTCCCACTGACCACCAATCTAAGGAGTATTCTTCCCACTGACCACCAACATAAGGAGCATTCTGCCCACTGACCACCAATCTAAGGAGTATTCTTCCCACTGACCACCAACGTAATGAGTATTCTTCCCACTGACCACCAATCTAAGGAGTATTCTTCCCACTGACCACCAACATAAGGAGCATTCTGTCCACTGACCACCAATCTAAGGAGTATTCTTCCCACAGACCACCAATGTAAGAAACATTCTTCCCACAGACCACCAATGTAAGGAGCATTCTTCCCACTGACCACAATGCTTTGGAAGGTGACGCAGCATTTATATATGGACAGATACGTTTTAGGAATGTGCTGTCTATCTGCATAGGTGGCAGTTTGATGACTTTGAGCAGCATATTCTCATGCTCTGTGTCACCTACATGGTAATATCATATGACAGGACACGTCACAGGGTGTGGTACTGTGTGCTTCATCGGCATTTGTGCTCTGTGCCCCCGCAAAGTTTTACAAGGTTTTTGTATTCAGTAATCACGTTTGTCAAAGCACAAGACTGCACAGCGAGGACACCGGGAATCCTTACATGAAGGAATATGGAGACCGGCAGATATAAAGGACACAACCCAATGCAGCTCAATCTTCACACTGGAATCGGCCGGGACGTACAGCTCCGTGCTGCGTGCAGGGCCGTATCGGGCAGCTCCCGGGAAGGACAGGTGCTGCGTGTGATTAGTATGCAGCCCCCGTCCTTCCCTACGCTCACCCCAAGTGCAGGTCCGTACAGGTGTGGGTGCCCCGGCTCGGACGCAGACAGGATCCATCCTGTCAGCGTACAAGTAGGGACATCCGCACGACGTGCATGCCGGGTGAGCGTAGGGCGGCGTACTCCCATAGAGAAGGACAGGGGCTGCTTTCTAATCACACGCAGCACCTGTCCTTCCCTGGAGCTGCCCGATAAGGCCGTGCACGCAGCACGGAGCTGTACGTCCCGGCCGTTTCTCGTGTGAAGGAGGCCTTAATACATGAGGAAGTTGATATTTTAAATGCAAGCGCCGTAAGTAACAACATTTGATCTGGTCTTTGGCAATCCACTGTACAACAGAGCTCAGTCTGGGAAAAGCTGAAGCAGTACAAGGAGCCAATCCGTTGTTGCTGCAGTGCCCATGTGATAACAGGGAGCATGCTGATAGAAAGAAAGAGCAGAGTGACAGATAAATCAGACTACTGCCTTTTGCATTCACTGTTCAGGCACAGGGCGGGAGGAGTAGGGTTGCCACCTGCCCAGGATTCATCCGGACAGTCCGGGTTTTGAATGCTGTGTCTGGGTTACTTTCATGGCACTGCATAGGGACATTTAAAAGGAGCCCAGAGTTGTGCTTTATATCTAAATGAAAAACCATTTTTGGGTAATGTATCTAAGGATAACTCCTCTTCACTTCCTGTCTTCTAGACACAAGAGGAAATACGTGGAAATCTTTCCAAAGTGGGGGAAAACACCTCTTGGATAGTTGTAAAAAAAAAAAAAAGAGTCACCATTGGACGATTTCCCCTCTATTGCTTTGTCAGTGGCAACTAAAATGTTCAGCTTTTACCCCTCTTTCTGTTTCAGAGACAACCGTCACCACGCTAAATAGGGAGGGTGAAACTCCGATTGGGGAAAGGGAGGGGATGTCAATTAATAACCTTGTAAAGGGAAATAACAGCACAGCAGGTTCCAGTTTTATGTTTTACTGGAGTTTCCATAAAAAGACCAACCAACAATTTCTGAAATGGAGGCATGGCGGGGGTGGCACTGTGGCTTGAGTGTCTATATTGTGGACACTTCATCCTCGGTCCATGCTCAGCCCCTGAACCTCACAGCCTCTTTGGTTGCTAGGACAATGTCGGCTGCGCAGCTTTAGTGGTTGCCATGACACTGTCGGCTGCACAGCATCAGTGGTTGCTAGGGCGCTGTCGGCTGCACGGATTCAGTGGTTGCTAGGGCGCTGTCGGCTGCACAGCTTCAGTATTTGTTGGGACACTGTCAGCTGCACAGCTTCAGTGTTCCCTAGGAAGCTGTGCGCTGCACAGCAATAGTGGTTGCTAGGACACTGTCAGCCACACAGCTTCAGTGGCCCCTAGGAAACTGTCAGCTGCACAGCAATAGTGGTTGCTAGGATGCTGTTGGCTGCATGGCTTCAGTGGTTGCTAAGATGCTATCATCCCTTCGTTTGTCAGGGTCCGGGCAATGAATGACGCATCCTCAGCCCCATTTACCTGCCAACCCAGAGATTCTCCGGCAGACAGATGAGTGTAAACAAAGGGGCAGGGATTGCTCTGACTGAATTGACCAAACAAGGGCATTGCCATATTTGTTAGTGACGTCATGCAGCATCCCCAGACCCTTTGTTAACATTTAGGTGTCGGAATGTTCTGGCCAGCAGCTGAATTGGGGTAGAGGATGCATCAATGGTTGCTAGGGCCCCAGTGGCCTAGCAACCAATGAGCTGTAAATGGGAAGCTGCCATGCCACGTCCCCACTCTGAGTAAAGACCTGTCTTTGTATGCCAGCTTAGAACTGGTGCCAATTACCTCCAGTTTGGTTATGTAAAACCGGAGGTAATTATTTTTGAATTTGTTGCCATAGCGACAGTTGTATAAGTGGCGCAGGTGAGAACATCCAAACCATCACAAGACTTCCGTTAGATAGGTGTGTGACTTTTTAAAGGGACCATACCTCAAAAAAATAAATAAAAGAGCTTCAATGCTTTATTGAATCACCTCATAGTGTTTTGGTTCACTTCCACTTTAGTATTTTCGGACTGATGGTGTCAGGTGTAGGTGTTCATGATGGATATTTGGCATTGTGACTTGATGTCTATAAACATTCCATTTGATTCTGTCCTATTTGGACAGGGTGAAGCCTGTGTGTCAGCGCAACCTCCAGAAAAGCCGGCTGACAACTCTGGCCCGCACAGTGAATTCCTGACTTATCTCACTTTTATTTACTACACACAGAGCAGCAGCTCAAACTTTTCTGAACTCTCCTGCTTGCCATCCCACCTCTTTCCCGCCCTACAGCCACGTGACCCATTGAAGCCAAGCGCTAAACCTACTTTGGGGCGTGGTCTCAGATAGTTGTAAAACATTTTTTTAGGTGCCCAGCCAATCATAACCGCCCGCTGTCACCAAGGTAGAAAGGACGCTCTGGTTGCTGCCGCGGTTGTGAAAGCGGCCCCGCCTTTAGCCGTGACGTCACGCTGGACTCTGTAGGGATGGTGTGAGGCGACTTGGCTTCACTCAGCGGGCAGAGCGTGGCCTGCTCGCTGTACTGAGTTAGGGGAGGGTGTCGCTGCATCGCCTGGCTGCCCCTATGGAGTTACGAAGACCCGGGCTGGCGATGGAAGCTAGGGACGGGATGCCCGCCCCTCCCGGCGAGGGGGAGGACTACGAGAGCCTACCGGCGGGATCCTCCCCGCTCACCCACATGATGGCCGGGGCCGTGGCTGGCATCCTGGAGCACACGGTCATGTATCCGGTGGACTCAGTCAAGGTGAGTGCTGTGGAGTGTAGGGGGCGGGGCATGCTGACAGGTGTCATGGCGCTGTGCGCAGCCGGGGCATGGCATAGCTCTGCTATGGGCAGGGTGACATTATGCAAGATGAAAAAAGAAACATTGAAACCTGTCAGCCCGAAAATAACAGAAAGTAGCCGATCCTTTATTGTTAAAGTGTAAACCCGAAATCTATGTCCCATCATGTCTAGCTGTGTGTGCAGTTTTATTAAGTAATTTATTTTTCTGAATTATTTAAAATGTTTATCTGGGAAAAAAGTACTTCCTGTTACAGGCTGACAACATGAAGCCACTGTCTGTCAGTTAGCAGCAGCGTTGTCACCCAGCGTTTTGCATTTTTGTTTTGGCCAATGAAGGTGAAATAAAGTTTAGGTTTCTAGAGGCGTGGGGCTGCTTGTCATGTGTGAAATTGCAGGCTACATGAGCTTTTCATGTGCTTCTATTGATGCCTAGAGCTAAAAATGCTCTACGTCATGCAAAAAAAAAAGTGCCCAAGTCCAAGAAGCTCGCGTGTGCATGGGGGCTCAGGAGCCTGCACGGAAAGCACATTGCATAGGTGTGAAGAGGCACCATAGAAAATGTTGGATTCCTTTTGTTGTGCGTTTTTACCACCGCAGACTTTGGTCATTGTTGGACTAAAGAAATTTTCTATGGGGCCTGCTCACACCTTGTGTTACTATGAAATGCTGGGTCAGTGGTCCTCTGCTCCAGGGACTGGTGCCAACCAGGACCCATCTGAAATGCTGCGTTATCAGTCACCTGCCTTCCAGTGACCATCTGAATCCCCTGCATGCACCCGGTAACGGTCCGCTGCTAACCCAGCTAAAATGCTGGGTTTGCAGTACCCTGCACTGGGTGCCAGAGCCAATCACTGACTAGCTGAAATGCTGTGTTAGTGGTCCCCAGCATCCAGAGAGGGAGCCTACCAGGGACCATCTGAAATGGTGGGTTAGCAGTCCCCTGCACCCGGAATCGGAGCTGACAAGGGAGCATTTGAAATGCTGGTTTGGGGGTCCCCCTGCAGCAGCCACTGGCGCTGACCAGGGACCATCCTAAATGCTGGGGTAGTAGTCCCCTGCATTTGGAAATGGTGCTGACAAGGGACTAACTGAAACGCTGGGTTAGGGGTCCCCTGCACCAAGCGCCAGCACTGACCAGGGTCCATCTGAAATGCTGGATTAGGGGAACCCTGCGCCAGCACAGACTAGGGCCCATCTAAAATGCTGGGTTAGGGGTCCTCTGCACCTGGGAACGGCTCTGGAGAGGGAACTAGTTAACAGACTTGCATCACCAGGTAAGAATAAAAAGAAAAGAATCCTTGCACAATGGGGTGGGGGTGCTGGGCTTGGTGCAGGGGACATATATTGCAATATATGTAATATATTGCATTATATATGTAAAGCCCCCTATGTAATAGCAAATATAATGGGACAGGTCCTCTTTATGGAGACATCAGGGGGTCTTTCAGCTGATGAAGCAGAGGTCTGCTTCTCCTGGCTCTAGGAGCTGGAGATTGTGCCCAGTGACACCGGAAGTGATGTAATACACATCACTTCCGGGTCCAGTGATTGGGGGAGAGATCCGCGGCTAATCTCTCCTTCGATCCATCAGGGGGGACCCTCCACGTCTGTGTCGGGCTCACACAAGGGACAGTGGAGCCCCGGGGAGGAGGGGGATGGTTGGTAGACGACGAACATGGCACCAGGCACATGGCATGCAGGCCATCCGGCGCCTGTACAGACGCAGATCGATTGTATTTAAACCGCAATCGCCGGCTGTTTAAAACGGTACCAGGAACATGGCAGCAGTGTTGTTGGTATAACCACTTCCAGCGGAGGACGTACATTTATGTGAACCCGCTGGAAGTGGTTAAACAACGCAGCACACCACAACGCACTGTATATGTGGTGTGGGGTGTTGGGCTCTACTTTAACAGTGTGTTGTGGTTCCAGTCACCGCACGAGCAGTAAGTGTTGTGTCAATGCGCGGTAACACACAGAAGAGGAAATCGGTTCTCACATTTTTCGGCCAGGTCTGTTCATAATCGCAGGAAACAAGCTCGGAGTATTTTATTTTATGTGTTTGATTTGCCATTATAACCCAGAGGCCTTCAATTATGTCTTTTGCAATGCAGTCTTGTGGAAGTGTCTGGACATGTCGGATTAAACTGGATCTGTGCGTCCTATTCAGATCAGACTCAATATAAACGTCTGAAGTGTTAAAGAAGAGATTCCAGGAGTTCACAAAATTAACCCTTTCAGTAGTTCTACTCCTGCACTGCAAAAGTTACCTGCTCGTTTTGGTCTTGAGGCTGGATTAAAGAAGATCTACTCTCCTGATCCTCGTTTGCCACAGGCTGCTAGACCGGTCCCCACAGCCTCTTCTTCCCGGGCTTCGGCAGTCTAAGCCCCAATGGCTTATGCTGATCCATTGACTTGCATTAGATGTGAGGATGCCGAGGGACATTTTACAGCTGGGGAGTGCTGACCGATGCAGGACTGAGGATCAAGGTCAGGGGTGGACAACTCTGACCCTCCAGCCGTTGTGGAACTACAAGTCCCATGAGGCATTGCATGACTGGGCATGTTGGGATTTGTAGTTAAAGCACAGCCTGAGGGCCGGAGGTGCCCAGCCCTGATCAAGAGAACATATCTTTTGTATTTCCTATCCTAGAACAGCAGCGGTTCATTCATTGTGCTGTTGAGAAAAATGTGTTTTCCTTTAAATCAATGACATAAGGCCAGACACGGCGTCCACAATGGCCCTTCCTAAAACTTGCTGTGGGTGTCTGACTTGCATGGTGTGGCTGATAAATGGCCGGCAGTTTCCAATACTGGAAAACTGGAATGTGGCAGAACCCGAACATGGTGCTACGAATATATCTAGGTACATGGGTTTTATGGCTGTAAGTGGAAGTAAAGGCACAAAAAAGAAAATCCCTTGGCGCTTTTAGCCATAATATCTGTAGAAAAGAAATCGACACAACTGGACTTGCTGTAATTTTCTTGAAGGTGTTTTGCTGGTCATCTGACTAGCTTTCTCAATTTGAATGGAGCAAGCCAGTCGGATGACCAGCGAAACGTCTTCAAGAAAAATACAGCAAGCCCAGTTGTGTCGATTTTTTTTCTTTTCTACAAATAGATACCATGACCCGGAGGAATGACAACCTTCTACAGATATACCATGACCCGGAGGAATGAGAACCTTCTACAGATATACCATGACCTGGAGGAATGAGAACCTTCTACAGATATACCATGACCCGGGGGAATGAGAACCTTGTACAGATATACCATGACCCGGAGCAATGAGAACCTTCTACAGGTATACCATGACCCGGAGGAATGAGAACCTTCTACAGACATACCATGCCCCGGAGGAATGAGAACCTTCTACAGATATACCATGACCCGGAGGAATGAGAACCTTCTACAGATCTACCATGACCCGGAGGAATGAGAACCTTCTACAGATATACCATGACCTGGTGGAATGAGAACCTTCTACAGGTATACCATGACCCGGAGGAATGAGAACCTTCTACAGGTATACCATGACCCGGATGAATGACAACCTTCTACAGATATACCATGACCCGGAGGAATGAGAACCTTCTACAGATATACCATGACCCGGAGGAATGGCAACCTTCTACAGGTGTACCCCCCAGTCTTCCGGGTTCGGCATAAACGGCCTCTTGATTAGCCACCTGGCATGAAGTGACTCCTGCACATGCGCACAGGAATTTACTTTATCTCGGCATGCCGGCTTTGTATGCTGAGCTTTGCATAGGCGGCTTGGTGTACAGAAAACTGCATTTGCTGACAGGTAGAAAGAAGCTTTTATGGCAGAAGAGACAAACCATCTTCTGTCAATACAAAGCCTGCCATTCAGCAATTTTGTTGTGGGAAGCTTTACCACCACTTTAACCAGTTCACATCCGCTGTGTTAAACCCCCTTCCCATCCAGGCCATTTTTCAGTTTTCAGCGCTGCGGTACTTTGACTGACATTTATTCTGTAATGCAGCGCTGTACTGAAATAATTTTATATTTGTAGTGCTGGCTCAGGTTGTGAACCTGCACACAGACACCATGTATCCATTCCAGAGACAAGGCAGTCTGCTGCAAAACAGAAGTTCTCCCCCAGCATGAGAAGACATGAGGATTTAAAAGGAAGAGCAGCAAAGAGAAGGGAAACAACCATGGATTACAGTAAGGCGCACATTACAGTATTGGTTTATGTTAAAACATCTGAGGGTTTAATGTCACTTTAAGGTGCTTCAATGTATTTTAAAGATTTAACTGAGTTTAGTATCACTTTAATGTTTGTGTGATTCTCGGGTGAACTTCCACTTTAAAGTAACAGGTAAACAAACCCTTTTAAACGAGCTATGTGCTGATTTCAGTAGTGGAACTGCGGTTAGTCTCATGTGGTTTGATGTTGGTTTCGGTGTACAGTATATGAAAGTTGTGATGGACGGTTCAGGCTGTGATCCATCACATGAGCTCTCGTTGCTTTTGCCTCCCAGGAAATGTAGCCCATTACAGCTGTCAGATGAGCTGCACTATAGAAGAGAAGCGAGCAACTCCCAGACCAATGCAGAGAGGAGAACGGGTTACACGTAGCGATCCTCATCCTTGTGTGTTGTAACCTCCTTGTATGTACATAGTGTATGTTATTTACTTTATGTGTAGCTTTACCTTGCAGCTACTGAGCCTTGTATCTGCCAAGTGCTCTGTGCATGTAAAACTGCCCACTTCACAGGGTGCACACATGATGTCTGGCTGTCGTAACACTTTAGATGCTTTAGACTTAGGCATGCACCATAACCAATAGTGGTATCATTGCCAATACTGGGCATTACTAGTACTTATATTCGTAAAAATGCCCGGATACTAAGCCCTCGTTCACACCTGAACGTTTTGTAGCGCGTTCTACGCTCGACGAACGCTCTACAAAACGCTCAAAAATATAAATCCCATTGTATTCAATGGTCTCGTTCCCACCTTGCCGTATTTCCGCCCGTCCCTAACGCCCTACAAAACGGCCCACGCCTGAAAAGGTCTGGGTACTACTTTGGGCCGTTTTGTAGGGCGTTTTCCATTGGGATACAGCCAAGTAGCCTTCGGAATCGCACGACGGTCGCACAACTTTTTTTACCGCGAATCGCGGTAAAAAAACGTGCGACGGTCGCGCATATGCAATACGCCTAGGTGTGAACGAGGGCTAAATGCCGATACCGATGTCTTATTCTTTTTAAACTAAAGCGTCTGCCTGAGCTCCCACGCTTGCTGGGGACCTCGGCAACCTTCCAGTTCACCACGCAATGCCTGTTTGCAGCGCTGACCTACATCTCCTCCTCCTTTCTGGGAAACCCTGCCACCCGCGAGACCCTCTGCAGCCCTCTGAGATTCCCCACTGGAGACATTAGCCCAGCACCCCAGGAGCATTGCTGTACAATGTATTGTAGTTTCCCTGCAGGCAGCCTGTAGTGGGTGGGGCCTGCTGGTCTCCTCCCACAGCTCCTCTCTCTGCACAGGCAATGCTCAATCTAGTGATGATGTCACTGCTACTTCCAAAGGGTTTTCATTAGGCACATGGTGCTGGTAAAGTGGATTTATAATCTTTGTGAGTATTTAGGGATATATTTAAATGAAATGTTTTGTTCCCGGGGTTTAGCTTTATTATCTCCTTTTCCTGATAAATTGATGAATATCAGAACAGCAATCATCTTGGAGAATTCTGTCGGAGTTTTAATGAAATCATTGACTCTAGATGCAGGTTATGCGCATTTCCTTGACGCATTCCGCACCATTTATATGTCCAAATGAACTTTTGTCAGCTGTTGTGATAGTGTACATAAAATGATTTCTATTGCTGGTGGTGCCCTGTACTCTGCATCCTCCTGCGTGTTCCTCCTGCGTGCTCCTCTGTGCTCTCTGCAGAGTTGGGTTTTCAGGTAAGAGGTCAGGGCTGGCGGCTTTGTTTGCCCTCCTCCCTCTTTCCGTGCCGATCTTTGTCCCTACCTGTCCTCTTCTCCTCTTCGCTCTTTCACATATTTAACATGCGTACAGCACAGCTGAGCAGTCGTAGCCGCCATCGGGCACAAGAATCGAATGTGAACCTGCCATCTAGTGAAAGTAGTCTCAGTCCTTGTGTGATATTCGTTGCCTTCTAGAATCATTACACAGCCGCCTGAAGAGAACCGGCAGCATGACTGGACCGAGTTTAAAAATTGGCATTGATTTTAAAATGTGGAAGCAGTTCTTGGGCTTCTTTAAAGGGTATCTATGGTTTAAAAAAAAAAACAACCTAGAAATCTATATTTCCATATTGAATTTCCACAAGTTCTATCCCACTCCTAATATCCAGATCCGTCTAGAAGTTTGTAAACGTGTTTAAAGATGCCCATAGGATGGACTTCCTGACAACAGTTTTACTCAGCCCTGTGAATACGAACTTTCCTGTGTCGCCACTCCCACGTAGCATGCCTTCTGAACTACAACTCAGCGTCTGAACAATGTAACGTTATCATTGTTGGTCAGAAGCAATGCATGATGGGGTATGTAGTCTTGAGAAATTCGGATTGTATCACAGCAAGCAGCAGGGAAAGAAACGCAAAGCACGCTGGGAATCCAGGAAGTTATAATCGAAATGAGCTTTGGTTGCATTATCTAAAACAACTCTAGTATGTATTCCTGTTACAATGCTGATGTTTATAACAGGATTGTAGGGATGTCCCGATACTGATACTTTTATAAGTATCGGGGCCGATAAAGGGCACTTGCATGCCTGCAAATGCCCCAATTCTTAAGGCCGATACCGGCCCTTTTAAATTTTTGAACAAGGTCGGCTGCCTAAGGTCCTGCACTTGCTGGGGGCCTCGCTGTAGCATATAAAATGGATGCTCCTAGCTCATGCTCCACACGTTTCCATTTTATATGCTGGTAAAAGGTCTTCAAATTGCCACCTAAGCAGATGGACACCATATGCCTAAAACTAGGGATGTCCCCATACCAGGCATGTTCATGAGTACTTGTAAAAATGCCCCGATTCTTAAGGCCGCTACCGGGCCTTACAATTTTTAAACCGCAGCGGCTTCCGAGTTCCCGCATTTGTGGGGACCTGGCAGTAGCTGTTCCTGGCAGTTCCTGTCCGGTTCTATATCCTCCTCCTTCTCGGCGCAGGGCCAGCTCCACACAGCACATTACAGCCCCAGACACCGGCACCCACCCTATAAACTTTCCACAGCATAGCCACAGAGCCAGGCAGAGATCCACATGCCCCCCGGGCTTGTGCTCTCGGGTCATCGGTATTGTGCTCTTGGGACAGCGGTAGAGGTAGCATTGCATCTTGTAGGCCTGAAAGGTGCAGCTCCTGAGTCTTAATGCTAATGCAGGCTGGAAGGATGGCAGAGCTGTGAGGCACATCATCCATACCGGACCCAAGAGGAAGGGGGGTAGTTGAGCTCTTGGTCCTGCAGCTTTGAGGTAGGTAAGATGGAAATGTGTGGAGCATGAGCCAGGAGCCCCCATCTTACCTACCTCAAAGTTCCAGGATGAAGAACTTGAGTACTCCCCTTCCTCTTGGGTCCGGTATGTTTCTTACTATTTGCGCACACATGATAAAATCTGAATTTGTGGCTAGAAAACTGCTTCAGACCCCCAAACAATAATATGTTCTGAAAGCAGAGGCCCTGTAGAATCAAAAAATGCTAGTTGCAATTTTTTATGTCACACGGTATTAGCGCAAATGTTTATCAAACCAGTATTTTTAGGATAAAATGCACCAAAATTAAATTTAGCGCACAGAAACGTAATATAATGCTCAATTTTTTGGTATCATATAAAAGACGGGGTCATGCCGGGTAAATAGATACCAAACATGTCAAGCCTTAAAATTGCGTGCGTCTGTGAAACCGCAAAAAAAACTACAATACTCAATTTCCCATAGTCGACACTTTAAAAGGGTTTTAAACTACTCATCAGATTAGTGTTCCTAGTTATTGATGGGCCGAGAATATTTGCTCTCCGACGCTCACGGCGATATGTAACATGTGCGGTGCAATTTTCGATTTTGCACGTAGGTGCATCCGACACGTGCTTGAGTTGTATGTGTGGGGCACTTTAAAACATTTTTTTTTTTTTTATCTATTTGATTTATTTGTTTTTGCAATTTTTTATTTTTACACTTAACTTTATTGCCATCACATAAGGCGATAACAAGCCCCCTATGTAATAGCAAATATAATGTGACAGGTCCTCTTTCAGACCCCTAATGTCACCTAGGGACCCCAAAGAAGCTGAGGAAGCCAAGATCTGCTTCACCAGCTTCTTCTGGCTCCAGGAGCCGGAGACTGTGCACAGTGACACCGGAAGTGATGTAATACACATCACTTCCGGGTCCAGTGATCAGAGGAGAGCTCAGCGGCTGGAAGCCTGCGGATCTCCCTCCGATCCATCAGGGGAGACCTGCTGTGAGGGTCTTGGGCTTTCAGGGGGGACAGCGGAGCCTGGGAAGCCAACGACAGTGGATAGGGGAGACACGGCGCCTGTACAGATGCCGGATCCCTTGTATTTAACAGCAATCGCCGGCTGTTTAAACCGGTAGCAGCAGCCGTCTTCCTGGTATAACCACCTCCAGCGGAGGACGTACATTTACATGAACCCGCTGGAAGTGGTTGACATCATGCAGTTCTCAATATTTTTTGGTGATGGTACAACATGCCTAAGAGGCCGCTTGCTGAAGTGAGTTCCTTGTTCAGTAGTAATACCGAAAAGCCGCCACAAAGGTCTTACAAAATCTCCAGAATTCCAACTGCAGTAATGATGTTGTAAGCAGCCCCGAGTTTTGAAACCTCGAGGATTTCCCAAATTACAGCTCAGGAAGCGGCGAGCATTATGTTGGGTATGTTTAGAATAAATTCCTCTTGGCTGGAGCCTTTGTCAGCGGTTAGATGTATTTACAGGGAGTTCATAAAACTCTGAGTTTATGCAACAGATAAATGGCTTAGCGGCGTTCTCAAGGCTGCACTTTGTTTTCATAAGTACTTCTGTATCACCGTGATCTCCCTAAATGCCTCTTTAATTCCCCGCCCAACCTTTTCTGGCTGAACGCTCGATGGGAAAAAGTGCCTCGTCATGGCTGATGTGTGTTGTGAAATTATATCGGCCCAGGCAGCGGGACAGGTCGAAGTGGCTGCTGCTCCAGCTAGATTGAACGGTGGAGCTTCTACAGCGCCAGAATGTCAGGTGGAAGCCCTCCCGGTTGACGCATTGAGCACCATTGTGTTCCCGGTCTAATGCAGTGGGATTTTTTTTCTTGGTCATTAGAGGGAACCAGTCAGGAGTGGAATGGAGGCTGCCAGTGCCGACATGGTTTCTGTTGAAGCTGCAGACGGTCATCCTTGTCCTCCCGGGAACTTCTTGGCTAGTGTGTGGAAGGCTTTTGATTATTATGTATGTCCATGCTGGGAAGATCCAGCCTCAATTAGGGTCATCACTAGGGATGCACCGATAACGGTTTTCGGTATCTAATACGCGTACCAATATATATATTTCAGTACTGTCTGATACCAAATACCGATACTGGTATTTCTGGCAGCATGGAGCTGGCTTGCCAGTCAGAATGTCATTACCAGCTACCTGGCTTATTGATTGCACAGCAAGCCAGCTCCATGCTGTTTGGCCAGCTCCATGCTGATTGACTGGGAAGCCAGCTTCCCGGCCAATCAGCATCGAGGCCCGCCAAACGGATCTGACAATATGGTGACACGACCCCACCCTGTAGGCACCTCATTCCCCCTCACATAGATCCTTAGCAGCAGTCATTACCGTACCAGTCCCTCGGCTAATCAGGAAGCAGGGAGGCTGGTCATCCTGATTGACCGGGAAGCTGGCTCCATGCTGATTGGCCAGGAAGCCGGCATCCTATTCAACCAGCATGGAGCCGGCTTCCTGGCCAGTCAGCGAGTCGGGTCATTACCAGTGGCCCGGCTTCCTGATTGGCCGGGAAGCCGGCTCCATGTTTCCTCACGGCACTGCCGGTCAGAGGAAACCTTCCTCTGACTGGAAGTTCTGGTATCGGGATAAGTATTGGTGCATTTGGGCAAGTACGAGTACTCGGCCAAATACTCTGTATCGGCACTGATACCAATATCGGTGTTAGTGCACCCGTAGCTGTCACTGAGCAGAGGGGAGATCTACCAATGGAGGGCAGTGGTTGCGGTTACAACTGTAAAGTGGGATTTCCCTTCAATTTCGACAGATTTCCGTTCACTTCCTGTTGTGCGCTGCGGTAACTTGCGTTACTCGAATTGGTGCGGTTCTATTCATTCTGAATGGCACCAACGCATCTTCTCAGTCCACTTGCACTGCAGCAGCAATCTAACATGCATTCTGGTATACTGTGCTTCCACAAATGGGCCATGCCTGACATTTGGTCTGTTGCGGTGCATTGGGCAGCCCTAACGCAGTATATGTCCGTGTGTGTGTGTTGAACACGCTACAGAGGACCAGGCTGGTTGGAATGGGCAAGAGAAAGGCGACTTCTCGTGGTGAAATACTGTTTTATTTATCCATATAAAATTATATTCTCACACGCTGTCTGTTACATGAGCTGTCAGAACAACCATCCAGACTGATGGACAATAGTCAGCATTGGACTGAACTGTCAGACCACCCAGATGTGAACCAGAGCAATAGTCTTGCTTATGCGTTTCAAGGGATTCATCAGAGCACATAAGTGATTTAGGCCATGTGGCCTCAGTAGGTCGGCAGTATGAATACTAATGTCAGAACTTCTATTCACCTTGACTGAAGGATCTGCTGGTCTTGGCATTCTGGTGTGTAGCTTCCATGGCATTAGGTCATGTGTGCCAGGGCTTGAATTAAAGCGGGTTTATAATTTCTGTTTTTTTGTTTTTTTGTTTTTTTTTTAACGTCCCTCTCGTGCTTCACTAGTTTAAAGTAAATTTAGATCCAATTTAATTGAAAGAAAATTCCTGTATAATAAATTCAAATTCCCCCTGCAGTACTATTTTCGGCCTCCTAGATGTCCTCAGTCTGATGGAAAGCATTATTCAACCCATTTCCTTGGAGCCTGGGTTGTCGTGATTGGAGAAGCAGCCCAATGATCTAATCTCTGTCACTCTGCTCTCTCCTCGTATCCGCATTCTTCCTATCAGCACATGAACAGGTCCGATTAATCGAACATAATAATCGGCTAACTAATCGATTTTGAAAATAATCGTTAGCTGCAGCTCTAGACTGCAGGAGGCAGATACCAGGACAGATTCTTATCCTGCTTGAATTTATAAAGCACTTTTTGAGATTGATTACTGATCTGCATTGACTTGTCTTTTATCTTCTGCCTAGAGTTCAGCTTTAGGTCTTTTTTTGCAATCGGCCTGAATAAGGAAGGAGCTGCTGCAATCGTATCAGTTGTTGGGCTGTTTTGCATAACAAAGTATAACTAATACAGGAAGAATGACGCAACAGAGCGGTGCACGGTGCATCCCTAGGGGCACTTCTGCTTGCTTCATGTGCTGGGTCTTGTGGCTGCTCAGACACATAACTTTATATCTGCTCCCTGCCATGTCATTGCCCTTTAGACCCAGGAGACGTGAGGTTACAGGATACAAGAATCCGCACTGCCAGGGGAGCGGGTCAGATATTGTGCTGGTTATATAAGAACTGGTTTTGTCCCAGGGGCTCAATATATACAGTCACCTGATCCTTGCCCCCGCGGGGGTCAGCGCTCGCCTCTCTCCAGCTGTGGAATGTCCCTCGGCATCCTCATGTCCTGCATTAGTTAGGATTAATGGTCTAGTTATAACCTGGCTTAATTCCTTAAGTACCTTGGGGTGCAGGTTATCCGGACCCACTGCTTTGTTTTCTATTCTATTAGTAGGCGGGAGCCGGGAAGGGGAGCAGGCTGCAGGAGAGGACGGAAAAAGATGCTCTTCTGTCCTTCTGTAATGCTGGGCATGGGCATCACCAGGCTGGGTGTCCCCCGGGATACACATCATTACCCATGCGCATAATGACATCACAAGCACTCCACTGGCGGCAGCCATCTTGGTGATGACGCCAGCAAAGAAAGGAGGGAATGTTCGTCTGGTGGCATAACGTTTGATGCTGGGCCCCTTTCTCTCTTGTGCACCTGTCGCGTTCTCGGTCCATGACCGAGTGTCTGAATTTTCAAAAGGAAGGGAGGGGGACACCAAAATGACTGTCAGTCATTTTGTTGTCATCTGGCGCAGGCTGCTCCCCCCCTTTGTGTCGCCACTGATGCTGGGGGGGAGGACACATTTGAAGTCAATGGTTGCTGGGACCGCCAGGGGTTCTAGCAACCAATGACTGACGAGGAAGGGGGCCTGCACTGGGTTATGGCTCGCAGTGGATACACTGGCCTTGGAGGCTAGCCCATTCACTGTAAGCCGGCCGTAACCAAGCGCAGGTCGGCGATCACTGTCCAGACAGAACCGCCACTCAGTCTGTTGACCAGACAGGGGCATCTAACGGGCCAGATGTGGTCCAGGGGGCGTAAAATGCCCAGGTCTGCCTTTTTAAGATGAACTAGAACTGCTGACCTCATATCAATTCTAGCTCTATGGGCCCTGCACTAACTAAAGCTCATCAGTCATTGAATCTCCACATCATCTGTGAACTACGTACATCACAACCTTTTTGTATGATGATCTTTGAGTATGTATTTGGATCTGGATGAAGCATTGGACGGAACCCATGCTACTAACATTGAACTAAATGCACACAATGACCTGACTGGAACTAACACTGACACCTGGCAGCAATTGTACAGTTTGTTCTTTCTTGTGGCTGTCCTGCATCCTAATGACTGGTTCTTGCTGCAATCTTTCAGAACTGTAACACCTTTGTTTTGCAGGGGTGGCAGGAAGTCTGGCAACGGTGCTGCATGATGCCATCATGAACCCGGCTGAAGGTACTTCATTATTCACATACTCTTCTTCCATTAGTACTACTGACTGTTGTACAATGACTGAAAGCGTTTTAAGGCCTCATTCACACACAACGCAAGAGCAAAATTGTACGTATGTTTGTAAATGTGTGTATGCGCGTATATGCATGAATTGTATGCAATCCCAGAATGCATTTTTTTTTCATATAAACTTTAATGTACTGTATGGTCGTATATGTGCGTGTGGGCGTAAAATACACAGAAATATCGAGCCCGGACGCATCTCGGTTCCATTTTTTTTTTTTTGTGCATCTTTACGCATCTATGTGTACGGAGCAATTTATTTGCATATGGGAAAATACGCTGTGCGCATCTATACGCAGCATATTGTACGGCAGTGTGCATGAGGCCTAAAAGTCATCCAGTTCATTCATGTATCCCGGCAGTACCTCACATGGTCCATGACACTCAACCTTTATATAGATAGATATATTAGATAGATATATTAGATAGATATATTAGATATGTATATTAGATAGATATATTAGATAGATATATTAGATAGATATTTTTTTTTTTTGTGCATCTTTACGCATCTATGTGTACGGAGCAATTTATTTGCATATGGGAAAATACGCTGTGCGCATCTATACGCAGCATATTGTACGGCAGTGTGCATGAGGCCTAAAAGTCATCCAGTTCATTCATGTATCCCGGCAGTACCTCACATGGTCCATGACACTCAACCTTTATATCGAGCTGGGGATGGGCAGATAGATAGATAGATAGCTAGATAGATATATTAGATAGATAGCTAGATAGATATATTAGATAGATAGGTTAGATAGATATATCTATCTAACCTATCTATCTAATATATCTATCTAGCTATCTATCTAATATATCTATCTAGCTATCTATCTATCTATCTGCCCATCCCCAGCTCGAATTTTGACAACTCAGCCGGCATCAGTTAAAATTAGAGGCGCACCAAAATGAAAATTTTTAAACCGAAATTAAAGTCGGGCCGAAAAATGTTTTTTACTTTGACTTTTACAAATGTTTTTAAATATTTAATTTTTTATAAACGTTTTTTTTTTTATATCTTTTTTATTCATTTTTTAATATTTTTATTTTGTTACTTGGAGCTTTGGGGAAATATTTTGGATCTAAACAGCCTCAGTATAGAGGATTCCTGTTCATTGATAACATGAGAACATTGTGTGTTTACTATAACCACAATCATGAATGGACAGGAGGTGATGTAGATCACTTCCCATTCATTCATAATTCAGGCTATAGTAACCATACCATGTCCTCAATTATCTACAAACACTCAGCGATCACTGATAACCGCTCTCCATCCTGACAAACATCACAGGAGGCTGAGCTCAGATTTCCCTTGCCGCCCTCCAGAAAAGAGTTTTCTGCTTTGTACAGGATTAATCTGCTATAACGCCTTTCAGTCTTTTGTAAACTTCTGTAAATCTTATTGCCTTTTTAGCCGTGGTTCATATCACCATTTTGCCTTTTTCTCCCTCTGCAGTGGTCAAGCAACGAATGCAAATGTATAATTCCCCCTACAGAAGCATGCTGCATTGCATTCAGACTGTAAGCAGAACGGAGGGAGTTGGAGCCTTCTACCGCAGCTACACCACCCAGCTGTTCATGAACATCCCATTCCAAGCCATTCACTTCATCACCTATGAGTGCACGCAGGAGCAACTGAACCCGCAGCGCCAGTATCACCCAGGCTCGCATATCATATCCGGTGCCATTGCTGGAGCAGTAGCGGCCGCTGCCACCACACCACTGGATGTGTGCAAAACCTTATTGAACACCCAAGAAAACACTGCCCTCAGTTCTGCCAACATCAGCGGACACCTGTCTGGTATGGCCAATGCCATAAGGACGGTATACCAAATCGGAGGCCTGAGAGGCTACTTCAAGGGAATGCAGGCCCGGGTCATTTATCAGATGCCTTCTACAGCCATTGCCTGGTCTGTGTATGAATTCTTCAAGTACTTCCTTTCCAATCGTTAAGTTGCCAAATCTTGTGGCGGTGGCACCTTCCTGAGGGTTACTCAGAACAATAAAATGGCACCTTGTGAACCCTCATGAGGAATCCGCTGTGTGCGAAACCTCACCAAAGACTGGAAACCACGTGGAAACTATTAACTTATTTTTATTCAGGAAATTCCATTTATATTTAAAGTTCATTCCCGTTTGCAATCTGTTGCCGCACAGAAGGCGACTTTCCCAATTGCTTCTGACGGGAGACCGTTTTTAATCTACCTTTTTAGTATTTTAAAGTGTTATTTCACTTTTACACAAATAGAATGAAATCGCTTTGTAATGACATTCCTATGAGGACGACATGGAGAAAAAAAACCAAATGCTTTTACTTGTCTTTTATACAGTGATGAAAGTTTGGCTGTTGAAGTGTGACGTCCAAAGCCTCCGCCAGACGGCTATACAGGCAGCTCTACAATAGAGGGAATGACGGAGAGAAAGTAATGGCTTATGACTACCTGAGTAGTAGCTTTAGCACGTCCTCCACATTACAAGTGGAGGTCGTGTAGAGGCAAAGACCGTGTTACCCTACTATCCCACAATTCAACCTAAAGCAGAACACTAGTGCTTTTCTGAGGGAGGTTAATGTGCTAAAAAAAATAATGTTTCTGTGTATGATTTGCATGTTGGGCAGCAATATGTGCCCATTGAAGGCCCATTAACACTGGATCCGTTGCAATGCCATACATTTTTCAACGAATGCTAACGGAAGGGCATCGAAAAATGAATGGGACTTGTTTACACCGCTCTGCTATGTTCCGTTGCGCTGAAAAAAAAAGATTATGCACAACTTTTTTTTTTTTCCTTTTTCTCGTCGAAATGTAACGCAAAAAATCCGGTGCGAATTAGCCACATTCACACCCGTTAATTTTTTGGTGCCCTTCTGTTGGCATCCGTTTGGGAAAAAACGATTGCAATGCAATGAATCAGAAGGAAATTGGAAGGTACAATTGCCTGTTTTATTTGGCCCTCTGTTGACTTGCGCTTACCTTCCAATTTTGGTGTGAGTGCGCCCTAAAGGAAAAGGCTTTTTATAAAATTAAATGAGCAGATAAGAAAGGCTGCTAATGACGTTCCTGGTTCTACAGGAAACCACACAGGAATTCCAAATCTGTATGGGAAAGAGAAGAATTTAGGCTTATAAAAATAAAACTCAATAACGTTCAGGTCAATTTGCAAAAATGAGGGATTTGTCAGACGGGTAGCTAAATGGGGTTATTGACTGGTACTCTTGACCCCCTCTAAGAGTTGTATGAGAAGCTGTTCCATTTGCATTATCTTTACTGACATGACCCTCCCCATGAGACTACAAGTACTTTCCCTTTGTGGAGACATTAGCAGGCGCACATATTTGACCAATTGCACGGTCTATGGTTTATTGCGAGAGTATAAGGGTGTAGCCGGGCCACTCGGACATCCACTGGGCTCTAGTCTTTTTTGCCTAGGTTGCCTTGTGGATGATCCATCCAGCTCTGCTTCTAAGTGCCTTAGATATGACCGGTTAGGGCCCATTCACACTATCGCCTTGTGGTAACATGTTACATGCATTGGTGCAATGCAGTGTCATTCATTCTGAATGGCATTCCAACACACCTTGGTAACAGACATGCGTTGCAGTGTGCTGTGCTGGCAAAAATGCTGCATGCATGGTTTTTGGCCCGCTATGATGGATTGGACAGCCATTGAAATGAATGGGCTCCCATAACACCGTGCACGACAAGTGTGCTTTTTAACATACCACAATGGATGGGGCTAGTGTGAATGGGCCTTTTATATGTAATGTGCAGAACCGATTTAGCCCGACACACCTCGGACGTCACTGGGCAATGTATTGCAGAAGCCTGAATGCAGAACCCAGAAGCCTTCTGCTGATTTTCACCCCTACATCCAGCACCTGTTTGGGTAATCCCTACGTCAAACTATGTAAATTCCTTGTAAGATGTCACTATGTTATCAGACATCTGGGCATGGGGTGGGCTTGAATAGCTTGGGATGGATGAGCAGTGCTTTACTTTCACACTTCAATACTCCACTAAAACTTTCATAACTGAGAATAAAGATAAGGAACGTTATTAAAGCTTTTTCTAGTGACAGATGACAGGTCCTCTTCAAATCTGAAGAACAGATCTAGAGTTCCTATTTTGCTGTAGTAGAACTATTTTTTTATGTATTGTTTCTTGTATACACATTTTAGTGTCGTATATATGCAGGGCATATCTGTATGCAATCTTCAGGGGAAGGGAGAGGTGTATCTGACAATTCTAAGTCTGCTCTCCTACTATGGCACCCCTGCAGTGCAGCTCTTCTAGTTCTTTATACTGAGCAGTGTAGATCAAATGCCGTTAAGAAGTTAAAGCTGAACTCTGGGGGGGCGGCAGAGAACCCTAAAGTGTGGCCTCCCCTCACACTTCAAGGTTTAAATGCTCATTTTTGCCTAGGGTACCAGGAATGAGGACTTGCCTACCACGTGACCGTTCCCCCCCGAAGCCTCTATTCTTTGGCGCTTCATCATGTGTTTGCTGAAGCAATGATGTCATCAAGTACAATGCAGAACCAGCAGTCTTGCAATGTGAGAATGTGTACGGCTCGCCAACAACTTGGAGCATGGGTGAGAAGAGGTGAGCGCCGGGGAAGTCCGGGAAAAGGTAAGCGGGTACTCTAAGCAAAAAGGAGCATTTAACCCTTGGAGTGCTGGGGTCCCCCACTCTAAGGATATTTATTATTACTATTTTTATTTCCATTTCACTGCAGTTTAGCTTTAAAACCCATCTACAGGAGAGCGCGGGACGGGGACTTCCCTTGCGGTGGGGCAACCACTATACTGCTTGTACATGTGTAGGGTACCGGTGTGAAGGACTTTTACTTGGCTGAGCCCTATTCTCCTCCCTCCCTCCACCCCTTCCTTTCCAGCCGTCACTGTTCACTTTTATCTCCCCTACCGTCTGGTTCGTGGACTGTCCCTCGATGTCCTTGCATATAATACAATGCTTTTGCATTGTACGTAATCAGCTCAGTGGGCCTCCAACTGGCGCAAAGGAGGCGAGAGGGTGCAGGTCCTGGAGCCGGCAGTAGTGGGGATCAGGTAAGTAAAAGTCCTTTTACATAGGTACCATAAACCAGCAGTTAACCCTTGCAGTGTGTGGAGGGGAGGGGGTCTCTTGTTGGGGTAGCCTCACCACTGCACGGGTTAATAATCAATTTTCACCCAGACCACTGCACTGGGGAGGTGCTCGGGAGGTGGCATGAGCAACGAATGAAAACGTGCCTCCCTGCGCTACAAGAAATGTCTATTCCCTTTAAGTGTCTCTGCAATGGAACACCTACAGAAGCTCCACAAAGTGGAGTCATGACGTTACCGCCCGGAGGCAGAGTCCTGTATACTGGAGCCCAGCAATGCTGGATAGTGGTTTTGCTTTAGCAGCATCTAGATAAATGATTATGGGGAGGCTCGCTCTAGTACTGACTCTCCGAGATTTCTTTTATTTATTTATGGTATTATCACTGCTATACAAGACAACAGTCACGACTACGCACAAGTCACAGATGTTTATTTTAGAGAATATATTATATTAATATTGTAATGTTTCTATTTACTTGGATGTGTTCGGAAAAGTGAATGTAAATAGTTTGATGCCATATTTTTTCTATGTCGGATGTATGACGCAGACTAGGTCATTCCGCGTGTATCCGCGAGATTTATCTGAAATCAGGAAGAGACTTTTGAGGGGAATTTATCAAAATCTGGAGCAGCTGTGCATGGCAACCAATCAGCTTCTCTCTTTCATTTCCAAATCCTAACTGAAGAGGGAAGCTGATTCGTTGCCCCAGGCAACTGCTCCAAATTTTGTCTGCTCCAGTTTTGATCAATTCCCCCTTTTTTATATTTGAAGTTGGATTTTTTTTTGCCTTAACGCACACACCAGATCATTGTTTCTGCCATATAGTCTGCTCTGTATACAACTCACGGCTGGAAAGATATATTGTGCCTCATATAACTGTTTTATTTTTTCTTTTAGGATGTTTGATTTTATTTTTGTTGGCTTAAAGTGTTTAAGCGAATTCTGCAAGCTTTATATATTTTATAACCAAATAACCCCTCGCTCTACTTTATATGTACAGTTTTCTGCTGGTTCCTGGACCTTAAAGTAACACGAAACTCAGGAGGTAAATCTTAAAAATACATTAACCACTTGCTGACCGGAGTGTTTAGACCCCCTTCCTGTCCAGGCCATTTTTCAGTATTCAGCGCTGCGGTACTTTGACTGACATTTATTCCGTCATACAACGATGTACGGGGCTTAGCACAAGGTGGCATGCAGGGATCGAAGAGGAGAGGTTGCCTTGGGTGCTTCAGCTGTAGTGGGCTACAAAGGGCAGGAGCTGTAACCTATACTGCTGAAGTAGTTCACAGCTTAGGGAGGATAGGGTTGGGGGGAGGGTGGCTTGGTTTCAGCATTGGAGAGCAGGGCATACTTTCTAGGTGAGCAAAAGCTGAGGCTGTCTTCACCCCCTTGGGTTATAGGATGCAAGGAGCTCCACCAAGACACAGGGACAAGTTTGAAGACTGCCTTAGAAACATTTAATGGCAGGTCAGGTTTACTTTAAGGTGAGGCGCTACCCCACTTTATAACTTTGATAGGAATGGGCAGGAATTGACCTACACGGCTTTCTGTGACAATCAGGCCTCTTCCTCTGAAGCCTCCTTCATGGTAGGGATACATGGATAATGTGCTCCAAGAAGGTCCATGAAATCCCACTCGGAGCACAGACCTGCTAGTCTTAGGAGGCTGAGGACATGACTGATGAGAAGCCTAGGCCTAGAGAAAGGACATTACTGGCCTCATTTCATCCAAAACTTTGAAAAACAGAATTTTAGGGTAAAGTCCCTATTAACAGTGCAACAAGGGAGATGGACTCTGTATCCAATATTGCTAGTCTCCTGCTTTATATTACTGGTCCTATAGAGCCCTGTGTTGTGGGCCAGCACTTCAGAAGACAAAAAGAAGGTGGAGAATTGTTATGCGTGTGAGCCCCCTTACTACCAACAAAATATAAATATTTATTCCTCCATTATTAAACCGGTCTAAGGCCTGTCCCTCAGGAACAATGATGGGAGTTGTACCCTTGCTAAAGCTCCCCCATGCTGCTGGTCCCGTTGCTAGATTATAAGACTTTGAACGTCTTCCAGAACTGGCTCTCCATGCCTATGAGCACTGCAACATTGCCGTACAATCTAGAGTTCTCAATGCCAATGTAAA